ATTAGATAATTGGATAAAATTAGTTCAGGAAAGTGAGTGGTGACTGCTCTGATCGAATGTGGCAGCAGCTGGTTGGATGCAGACCTGGACCTGAAGCCACACCCGGTGCCCAGCAGAGTCACTGCCTCCCTTGGGGAAGGTGCTGGTACCCTGGGGAAGGTGCTGGTACCCTTGGGCCTGGTGCCAGCAGGAGGCAATGTGGCCTGAAGCATTGTCACTGTCACGAGGGCAAGGGCAAGCACTGGGTGCTCGGCATAGGGGACACCCACATCTTGGCATCCCTGTGCTCTCGTGGGAGTCCCGGTGATGTTCTTGTGTGTTTTGGAGTTGGTTTTGGGGTCTTCCTGGTGCTGGTGGGTGAGCAGGATGGGACAAGGAGGGAGTCAAGGGGATTGCTCAGGCGGAGGTAATTGGGGATTGGGCTGGGGGACGCTTGTGTGTCGAGCTCTGCTGTTACCTATCCCTCTCTGTGCCTCAGTTTCCCTGCACTGGAAGGCTCAGGTGGTGCTGCTGGGTGGTGAGACCACCCCATGCGGGCAGCTGTGGTCCTGCTGACCAGCTCCTGCCCCATGTACAGGGGCATCCTGCCAGGCTTGTGGAGTGTGGGCATGCCAACTGGAGCCTGCCCAGGTGTGGGCACCCACATGCCCCAGGGTATTTCTGCTGCCGCCAGATGTGCCGGGTGCAAGGAGATGGGTGGCCCAGCTGTGCAGAGAGGGCAGAAGCAGGGTGGGTGCTGTGAGCCAGAGGAGACCCCTGTCTGTCTGTCGCCTTCTGCTTCCCCCTGGTCCCCCCCAGCAGCCCTTGGTCACCGGTGTGACGGTGCGTGGCTGTGCTCCGAAAGCCGTGCCAGTCCCCAGCCCTCCCGCGCCTCCGGCCGCCCCCGCGTCCAGTACAGCTGGAGGTTTCAGTTCTGCATCTCCGCTGCCCAAGGGGGAACTCAGCCAGCGAGAGCGAAACTCAGTGGCTCCAACGGTCGCACATGTTCACTCCCCCCCTCCCCAGCCCCCCCAGGCACCCCCTCGTGTCCCTCAGGTCCTGGCAGGGCCAGCAGCCGCTGTCGCAACACCTGCGGCGACAGCTGTGCCACGCTTGGCCCCCGTGACCTTCCCTGGAGCACAGCTCAGCAGGGACAGAGCGGCTGCCCAGCTCCCCTGCCCACACCCGGGGACTCCATTTGGACAGGGAGCCTGTGCTGGGAGTCTGTGGGGCAAAGCCTCTGCAGGGTTACCTGGAGGAGCAGGGAAATGCCCCTCCACGATTCCCACCCTGCCTCGAGCTGGGGACACCTTCACCTCATCCCTGTGCAGGTTTGGGGGAGCTCCAGTGGCGGTGGTGACGCTCTGCGTGGTGTGATTGTGCCCTCAGCACAGCTGGCTTGTGGCATCACTCTTGGGCCATTGCTCACCCCTGGGCTGTCATGCTGGGCAGCCGAGCATCCCGTGCCACTGGAGGTGGGTTTCTCCCTCCTGGCTCAACATGCTGCCCTCCTTCCCCCTCTCCACAGCCCCCGCTGCTGTGCTGCTGTGATGTTCCTCACTGCATTTAACCACCAGCCTGTCCTGCCCAGAGTGGGATCTCTCCCAGTTTGTCCCTTCCCACCTCTTGGTGTCAAGCCAGAGGAAACCCAACTGTAAAAGACTCATCATGTCTAATTAAGCCCTGGGGATATTCCCAGTGGCTGGTGCAAACCAGAGGCCGGGCCATGGCTGAGATGCTTTAGTTTCATGGACTGGAGAAGTGGAGAAAATCAGAGAAAAATGGAGAAAGTTCTTTTTTTATTATTTTTTATTCTGTCTACTCCTTGTTGTTGGCACAGCCCTGGGAGCTGGGGTCTGGGATCTTCCTGCTTTGGGGTGGGGGCCCGTGGACTCCTGGCAGAGGAGCAGTGAGCTGGGTCAGGAGCCCGGGGTGGGGAAGTTCAGGCTCGGTATCCAAATGTTGGCAGCCCCGAGCCCGTTGCTAAAGGAAACATGAAAAAAGAGGAAGGAGAGATTGCGGTCGCTGCTCTTCCCCTCCGCAATCTGCGCCTCCCTCTTGGCCCCTCTGGGTCCGGGGCTGCTTTTTCTGTCCATCCATCTCCCACTGTGTGCTCTGAGGTCCCCTTGGCAGTGGCCATGGATTGTTTGGGGGTATGACATTGTATATATTGGGGGTTTATATATATGAGAATAAATATATATTGAGGGGGTTATATGTAGGAGAATATGTGTATTTGAGGGGGGCTTATATATGTGGGAATGTATTTATATGGGGGGTTATATATACAAGGGCGAATATTTATATTTTGGGGGTTATATATTTGGATATGTATATTTTGAGAGGGTTGTCTATATGGGAATATGTGTATATTTTGGGGGTGTTATATATATGGGAATATGCCTGTGTTTGGGGGTATTAGTGAAGACCAGCTGTGTCACAGGGGCTGCTGAGCATCAGCTGAGCTGATATGAGCATATATCCAGGGAAGTCTCCGGAAGCCATCCCTGGGATCCTTCAGGTTGTGCCAGCCCTACTGCATCAGTTAAAAATGGGGGTCCCAGGAGGTCCCCCCCTGCCCTGAGGAGTTTTGGTTTGTCGCTTGGAGAAACCGAAGCTTTGGTTTTCAAACAGGAACAACGTTATCGCCTGCTCAGCATTTCTGCTCCAAAGCTGGACATAAAGATTGTCTCCTCTTTCCCCTTTTTCCTCCCCACCTTTTTTCACTCAGAAAGGGGAATTCACTTGCTTTTGCCGCCTCCATCCCTCCCCTACGTGATTTTTTCCCCCTCAGCTTATGAAATAACAGAACATTTTGAAAACACAACACTTTTCCCCTTCCCTGGGCAGCATTTCTTTGTTTATGACAAGAAGGCTTCAAAGGCAGAGTGTGACGGGGTGAGAGCTGTGGACTGTGTGGGGGCCCTGGGGGCTGCTGGGGGCCCAGCCCTGCCCAGCCCCAGCCCCTCACTGGGAGCTGGTCTCACTGAGCTGCAGCGGGTCAGATGGTGACCTTTCAAAACACTCCAGAATCCAGAGTTTCTGGGAACAGTGCCAGGATGGTCATCCACCAGGGCACAGGATGTGCACAGACGGACGTGGGGAGATGGCAGTGCTGGCGAGTGGGGGCTTTGCTCCTTTGCACCAGCTCAAAACGCTGCAAAAATGGGGTTCACTGGTGCTGGATGTACCACTGGGTCCAAAGAACAGTGGCTTCTGCAGCTTGGCTGGGCTGTGAAGCAGCCCTGGAGCTGTGGGGCTGGAGAGGGTTGAGCCTTTGAGCTGGTGTCTGTGTGCACTGGGGGCTCCAGACTGTCACCCCCATGCATTGCTGTTCATCCCTGTCTTGGGGTGACACCGGGGTGTAACCCTGCACTGTCACACCTGTGGGCTGAACACCCCAAGACTGATCCTGGTCCCCCTGGAGTTTCTCACCTCACCCCAGCAGAGGGGGGGTTGGTCTGCCAGAGTGGTCAGCAGTGGTCCCTGGTCCCCACATGGCTCTGCTACCGGCCCTGCAAGGCACTGCTGAGACCAACAAGAGCTGCTTGGACACCGAGGGGTTGCTCAGAAGCCTGTTGAGAGCCCCTCTGCAATAAACACCAGCTTCCCTCATCCCGGCTGGGAGTGGGGCACCCGCAAGGTGGAGCTCCTTCTGTGGGTGCCCTGGTCCCCACATGGTCGGTCATTCTGTAGGATGCTCTGTTTTATTCAGGGAAATAAAGGGGTGGTTCTGGGGGGGGCAACAGGTTGGTCTGGGCGTTGACAGATGCAAGTGGGAAGGAGCCCCCCATCATTGTGCCCGCTGCTCCCCCATTGTGGAGGTGACAGAGTCGGACTCGTCTGTCCCTCCTGATGAGAGAAACCTTGCGACTGGTCCACCTGGAGGACCTTGGGTGACGTGGCACGATGCTGGAGGCTGGAAAGCTGCTTGCACCTCGGCTGTTTCGGGGTGTCCCCTCCGCCTGGCTCCCTGGGAGCGAGCGGTAGGTGCAGCCCCGACCGGAGCCACGCGCTCCTCACTCGGGCTTTGTTCAGGCTGAATTTTGTAATGCCAGGAAATGAGCTGGCCGTGGGAGGGGAGGCAGCCGGGGGAGGAAGGCTGGTTTTGTGGTTGGAGCGGAGGACGAGGACACCGGAAAGCCGAGCACAATTCCTCGCTCTGTTGCAGGCACGGGGGGTGAGGCAGCAGCTCGGGAGCTCGTGGTGTGTTCAGGGAGCGGGTGCTGGACTCTGTGCCTCGGTTTCCCTTTCGTTCAGCCACGCTTCCCTTGCGGGAGTGTGCCCTGGGGATGGGCTCTGCACAGGGCAGGTGCTGTCCCATGCCGGGTGGGGACGGCCACTGGTAGATGAAATGACCAGCACTGACTGACTGAAGCTGCTGGGCTTTGCCCCTGTGGATCACCTCCCATCTCCCAGTGGCGAGTGGGATGAGTTCAGCAGCCGCATTTCCTCCTGGGCCATGACAGTTTTTCCTTGTGTAGGCTGTGCTTGCTCTCCAGGAGAGTATCTGAGCACGCAGGCTGGTGCTTTCCGTGTGTGAGGGTCTTCCCAGAAATCTCCAGTTTACCTAAAACCTTGAGTGACTCACTGCCGGCCACTCTGCCAGCCTGGACTGCGTCCCTCATCAGTGATAACTTTTAGCTTACCTTCTGTTTCATTCCTGAACTCTTTTCAGCTTCTTTCCCCCTGGTCTCTTTATACGTTTCTCCCTCACTCCTTTTCCCCCTTTCCTTTCACGGTCCAACAGGTTCCTGCATCCCGTCCCCACTTGGGACACTGGGATGCTCTCCATGCACAGCCTTAGGGCTCCTGGATCCCTGCAGGTCCCACCCCACCTGCGTGGCTTTAGCAGTGATGCTCAGGTTCAGGGCAGCGAAGGAGGGGACCTGCAGCCAGGGGACACTGGGAGCCCCTCACTGTCCCCTGTCTCCAGCCACACCAGACAGATGGGGTGTGTGGGAAGCCCTGTCCTTGCCTCCATCCCCTCAGACTGATGGCTGCTCGCTTTGTCTTTGCAGTTGGATTGAGGAGCGGTGGCTGCAGCTCATCCCTGGCAGGAGTAGAAGATGCAGGAGGCTGCGTAGCAGGTACAGTTGAAATCTCAGCCTCCAGGCTCCTGCCTTCCCCCTTGGCTTTGCTTTCCAGGGACTGGGGGCAAGCAGGGGGTCCCCACAGAGGTCACCCCAGCTGGATGCAGCTCAGGGGCTCAGAATCCCACAGTGGTGCTGACCAGACCCTTCAGCCCTGCTCTGGTGGCAGGAGGAACAGCAGGTCCTGGTCCTGCAAGGGCACAGGGAACATCCTGACTGGCTGTGCACCCCTCACGTGCTGCCACACATGGGGGTCCCAGTGAATGGGAGGGGGGAGCAGAGCCCCCAGAGCTGGGCAGGAAGGTGGCATCCAACAGTGGGTGCCACTGCTGTTCTCCAGTGCCCATGCTCCCCTTTGCCTGGCACAGCTCTGCTGAGCCCCAGCCATGGCCCCAGCAGTGATGTGGGACTCTCTGGGTTTTTTGCAACACATCACCATGTATCCGTGCAAAGGAGGGTTCTCCTGGCCTGGTTTCTCCCTGTGTGGACGAGACTTGTGGCTAAACCTGCTGTTATTTTGTCCCTTGCATTCCTCTGAAACAAGGTGCCCCTGGGAGAGGGCGTCACGTCCAGGTTTTTTCCCTTCTCAACCTTCTTGGCCTGTTTATTGCTCTTACAGTAAATGTTTGCGTCTCCCGTGTCTGCAGTGAGGTTGTGGTACAGACACCACCGTGGGCCCAGTTTATGAGGGCTCTACAGTTTCATGTAATGCATCTTCTGTACCTGAGAGTGAAATCAATAAAAAGGAAAGATTTTTAAAAATAATCTGCCCCCAGCTCCCGAACGGAGGGAGCTCTGTTGCCGCTGCTTAGTGAGCAGTTTTGTGGGGTTGTGATGGCTTTTTAGTGCCGGAGAAGGGGCAGGTAATTTATGTGGAGGCCCAGTGCTGGGAGATGGGGACAGCATTGCTGTTTCCTCCGCAAGGTCAGCACCAAGGGCTTCATCTGCTGATAGGAACCAAGAGCAGGTCCCCAGCCTGGGTTGGGGTGAGCGCAGCAGGCAGGTTCCACTGTATCTCAGTGGTGCTCGATGTGTGCCGGGAATGGGCCGTGATGTGTTGGAGGAGAGCAGGGCTGGAGGGCTTAGCTGGGTCTGTCCTGCTGCAGCTCGGCTGAGCACGGTGTCGTGGGAGTGTTCTGGGGGCTGCTACGGGACTGCTCGCTCTGGGAACGTGTTTGAGTGCAGGGAATGACTATACGGAGCGTTGTAGTGATGGGTCTGTCTGCTGTGGGGTGTGTGTGAGGGCAGGACCCTCCTTGGGTCCCAAGTACCGTGGTCCTGGTGCTCTGTGCACGTCCTGTCCCCCGGCCCAGATGCTGGTGGGCGGTGGCAGGATCTCTCTGTAACTGTGTCCTCTCTCCCCCACGTCACGGTTTGCTGCTGGAGACAGGATGCTCGGCTCCGCCGGCTCCATCCTGACCAGTGACAATGGCTCCTTATTTTTTAAGGCTCACACAAATTCTTGGTTTTCGGGTCGGCAGTGTCCTCCCACGAAGCCCTGTGCTGCCGCTGGCGCCGGCACGGAGTTTTGAGCAGGGGAGGAGCAGTTTAGTGATTTGTGCCGCTGCAGAACTGCTTGCTCCGAGGAGCAGTGCAGCAAGTGGTGCGCCTGGGGAGGAGGATTTCGAAAAGCACCTCCAGGGACCGCTTTGAGACTCGTCCCCTTCGCTCTGCGAGTGACAGGAGCTGAGCAATTAGAGGAGCAATATCGACCTGGCCTCCGAAGCGTGCGACGGCGCTGGCACCGGGCGATTTAATCCCAACGCGGCCACGTCCCCACGTCCTGGACGTGCAGCATCCATCGCTGCCCGTGATCAATAGGCATTTTGTCTTTCTGAGGCCAGCCCTGTTTGAGGCGCACCAGGAGAGCCTCGTTCTGCGGCAGAAAACTCTTCTAGGGCCTGTGGTGACCTTAATTGAATCGACTCTTTCATGTCCTGAAGACGGTCGCATCGTCTCAATGCCGCCATGCTCGGTAAATCATGTGTCTGTCCCCACATGCACACGCCCCAGGGTCCGCACCAGCCTTGCTTCTCTCCCAGTGAGATTTTCCAGCCCAAGGCTGATTTCCAGCTGCTTGGGAAGAGCCCTTGGGTCGCTGGATCTGCTCCTTCGCTGTCTGAGGCCTTGCCTGTGTTCTCTTGAAGGTTTGGTGGTGGTGGAGACTGGAGTTGGCAGCTTCCATGCTCGAGGTGCAAGTGTGCCACCTCACCTGGCACCTGGCTCTTTGCATCTGGTGGGATCTTCCCAGTCTCCAGGGAGAGCTCGTAAAAGCCAGCTGGTGGGCACACCAAAACCCAAACCCCCACTTCTCGCCTCTTTGGGACGTGGGTTCCTGGATTTGGTAAAGCAGAGGGTTCCTGCCGCCCTTATGGTGGCTGAAACGTGGCCGAGCTGCTGGAGGTCACCTTTCCAGTCCCTGCAGAGCTGGGCGGCCTTTCCTGGTCACGGCTCTGCCCTGCGCTTTGGGTTCTGAGCTCATCCGCTATTTTGCCACTGGCAGGGGGAAAAAAAATGTCTTCAAAGCCCTTTTCCCTTGGGGAAAAGCCAACTTGGTCAGAAATGTCTGCGCAGAAATGTCATCTGACCCAGCAGCTGGCTCATCCTCCCCGGGGGTCCTACGGCGACCGTCCCCGTGTCCCCATCCCACCGTGTCCCCGGCTTTGGGGTGGTGGAGGAAGCGAGCCCAGGGCACTGTTTTTGGCAAGCTCTGGCCGCTCCCTTCCCCCCCACCCCCGCACGCTTCACCACCCCCTCCTGCCTCCGCATCTGCCTCTGCCCTTCAGCCGCCGCCGCGTGTCCCGGTGCCCCCCAGGCAGGGTCTGGAGGGGACTCGGGGGCCGGGCCGTGGCCCCGGCGGCGGTGACGGTGGCTCGGGCACGGCGGCTCCATCCCGTGTGCTTCCTCCCGGCCGCCAGCGCGCAGCAGCCGTGGAGAAGGACGCAGCCACCCTGTCTCCTGTAAGTACCTCTCACTCTTTCCACTGGAGAGTTAAAATTAGCAACTTCTTTTTTTAAAGCAGGCGTCGCTTTAAACCTCGCCAGCCCAACTGGGTTTCCTTTTATTCCCCCCCCTCCCCGCCCCCGACTCCTTTTCCCTCGATTTTTTTTTTTATTTTGTTGTTATTGTTGAACGTGTGCGTGCACTTTTCTCCCTTTTTATTTCTTTATTTCTCCCCCCCCCCTCTTCCAACACTTCGTTTCGTTCCTTCCTTTTTTAAACACGGGTGACGCTGCAGTGTCGGTGCGGAGTTCGGAGCCAAATAAACAGCCCGGCGCACCCCCACCCCGATCGCCTTACAGAGCCTTGGGCAGAGCCCAGCGCCGAATTTAGACCCTTATCTATTGTCAGCCTCCGCGGTCGCCGCTGCTCTGCCAGGGGGGGTTGCCCCGGACCCCCTTGTTGCTTCTTGACACAGATCCTCGCTGTGAGTTTGCCTCTCGTTGTTTTTCCCCTCTCCTTTGTGTTCGTGGTAAAAGCACCGAAGTGCCCGTAAATCAGGACCCGTTGCTTTTTATCGAGGGCTGCGTGGGCAGGGAAGGAGAGGGGGGTCTGGGTGATGGGGGGGGGGCTCCCCTGCTGGAGAGAGGGGGAAACTGAGGCACGGAGGAGGGGAGACAAGGCTCCCTGACGGGGGGAGTGGGTGAGCCGGGATTTCCTCCTCTTAAAATCAAAACAAACACAGACGAGGAAGGAAAAGGCAGCAGGCGTGGGCTCCGATGCAGGATCGGTGCCTGTCCCGGGGGGACAAATCCCTTCGGGAAGCTCTCGCTCGCGGGTCCCCCGTGGCAGGGACGATTCCGGGGATGACGCTGTGCGGGTGGAGGGTGCCACAGCCGGCGCGGTGCTGCGGCCGGAGCAGCAGCTGGAAGTGGACGTCCCAGCCCGGATCTGCGAAAGCAAACAGGAAGGCGAGTGGGGAGCAGCTGCCGTGTTAGCTTGGAGGTTATTTATTGTGGTTCCTCCGAGGTTGGTGCCGGGGGCTTTTAACACCCTCCTGCTCGCTGCCGGATCCTCTTGGCCGGGGCTGGGTGCCCGGTGCGGCGGGAGCTCACGGCCACACCGGAGGTGAGCCGGGTACCACGCACCGGGCATCAGGCGACGGCAGGACTGTCACACTGGGGCTCTCTCCCCAGTTTTTTTCTCCTCCCCTGACTATTTCTTAAATGCTCAGTTTACTCTACAGCCCAGCCTGGCCCGGGGGGAGGTGGTGGGGATGGGTGTGATGGAGTTGGGACCAGTAGTGGTCTTGGCTCATCCTAGAAAAAGCTTTCTCCATTTGATTATTTTTTCCAGGGTTTTTTGTGCTGTTGCTGCTTTGGGGTGAGAGTTAATAATACTGATAAACTTCTTATCCACATCTGTGAAAATGGAGGTGTGGAGCCTGTAGGATGGGGGGGTCAGCATTCTTCAGAAGTGCTTTTAGTGTTTCCCTCCCAAGAGGGAGGGACAAGTGTTTTCCTTCCCAGGTGTGCCCTGGCTCCGATGCTCATGGATGGCTTGAACACAACCAGGGCTGGAGGATTAACTGTGCACTTTGGGCTAAACACAAGCCTTTACCCATTACTGGGGGGGGGGATGAGACGGGTTCTCCCCTCTGCTTGACTCGGGGAAACTTGTCACAGGGGGGTCCCTGTTGTTGTGGGAGCTTCTGCAGGGTCCTGGAACCTACTACAGGGTATTAGAACCAAGCAGCTGCCCACAGTATTACCCTGGGCTGCAGAACCCTTTCCTCCTCCTCCTCTTCTTTTGGGCAAACAACCCTTTAGGGCAATTATTTATTGACACATTTTTACATCCCCACCCTTCAGCAAAAATTTTGACGGAAGTATTTTCATTTCTACCTACAAACTTGTGCCTCACTTTTTCTCTCCCTCCTTTTGCATGCATGCATAAGAAACTCCCTTATTTGTTTTCTTTCCCCCAATATTTACACTTTTCCAAGAGGGATCGTGACTGGTGTTTATCCGTGACACTCCTGCGCTCATGATGGCTCT